TCCCCCTCCTCCTGCGGGTGCGGCAGGCTCGCGCCGTGTCGACTGGCTGCGACCCCGCCGCGGGCCTGCGAGATGGAGCGCCGGCGGCGGCCCAGAGCCGGCTGGCATATGAAGCGACCTGGCGATGGGACAGCCGCCGAGATCGCTCGAGGCGGAGCGACCCACGCGGTGCCAGGAGCAAATTCGCCGATGTCGGCGCGGCACGCACCTGCCGTAGCCCAGATATCAGGAGGGGAAAAAACACACAGACACCATGAATCGTCGACTCCCAGGAAGATATGGGAAAAGATGGGAAGTGGGGGGGAAGACAAAAACCCAGAAAATATTGGAAAATATGGGGAATCCTTGTATTTGTGTGTATTCATTTGTGTGTCCCAGGGCCCCTTCAAGATCGTGGGGCACATGCGAACCCTACCCCCGCCCTCCCCCTCAGAAATCGTTTGGGGGGGCAGGGGTAGGGTTCGCATGTGGCCCCCTACCGGAGCAGACGTGCCCCGGAGAGGGGGGCCTCAGGGCCCACCTCGGGACGCCCAACGGCCGCGTTCTGACACCGTGGCCGCTGCGACGCTGGGTGCCCGGAAGTGCCCTCGGGCTGCGCCGGGGGCGCCCCCTGGCAGGTACGTCGTCCTGCGGGTATGTCTTTCTTCCGAAGAAATATGTTCATTCTTTATAGATGCTCGTATCTAGAATGGAAGGACAAGTTTACAGTTCAGCGGCGTCGATACATATATATATATATAGGGCGAAGCACAAACTTCTGAATATGTAATCTGTTTGATCGAGATTTCACATACGGATCGAGCGTCGGGCCTCCGCAGAGGATCGGCATGGGGGCCCTCGTCATCTGCGTCATCCTCTTCTTCATCGGCGGCCTGCTCGGCACCACCGACCCCGAGACGGGCGGCTCCCCGTGGATCTACATGATCCTGGTCTCCGTCACGCTGGCCGTCGCCGCGATCCCCGAGGGCATCCCCCTGTGCGTCACCATCTCCCTGTCCATCGGCTGCGAGGATCGGGGGAGGAAAGGGCGCCGAGACCTTGCTGGAGAAGGAAGCCAGGCACGAACATGCGCTGTCGTCGGCCCGAGCGGATTGCTGGGATCGGCGCTGGGGCCACCCTGGAGGGGCCGCTGGCGCCGTCCTTGGCGCGCTCCGCGCGACAGAGAGGGGGGTCCAGCGCAGATCCAAGAAACCCACGCGGAGCCGAAAGTTTATGTTCGTGCTGTTTTTTCTTCTTCTGGATGCCACCACCCTTGCCTCGCGTCTGCCTCCCTGGGGCCTCTTTTTATAGGCCTGCTCGGAGGCTCGTCGCCACTGCTAGCTAGATTCGCACCAGAGTTCTGGCCAGTACCCACCCCGGGAGAGGTCTGGGGAGCAGCGGTATCGATACCTTCGGGGGCGGAAAAGAGGGGGTGATGACTAGGGGGGGGTGGATATCATGGCGGGGGCCATGATATTTCCCCAGATTTCATGGCGCCCCTTCTTATTTCATTACGTCCCTGGCCCCCCCTTCTGGGCCGCGCACATGCCGCCGGTCATGATTTGCACCCCCCCCTCTTGGACACCCCCCTCTTGGCCGCTCCCGATACCTCTGCGTTTCCCTCGAGGAGATGGCCCAGAAGCTGGTGATGGTCCGCAAGATCGCCGCTGTCGAGACGCTGGGCTCCGCGTCTGTCATCTGCAGCGACAAGACGGGCACCCTGACGGAGGGCAAGATGACGATGACCAACATGTGGTCGTGCGGCGTCGAGTATGACATCTCCGGCCAGGGGTTCAGCCCCGAGGAGGGGCACGTCTCGCGCGCAGGAGCAACTGGCGCCAACAGCAACAACGACATGGGCGTGAAGAGCACCCTGCTCGCGGCGCTCCTGTGCTCTGACACAGAGCTGTTCTACGCCATGGACGACAAGCTGGGGAGAGAGGCCTGGCAGTTCAAAGGGAACTCCTCGGAGGCACCCATCGTCGTCGCTGCGCAGAAGGTCGGCTTCAAGCGGGAGGAGGTCGGTAAAGAGTACGCACGGCTCTTGACCATTCCGTTCAGCTCCTCACGCAAGATGATGCTCACGGTGAGCGACGTCACGGGCAAAACGACCCTGAGCGCTGGAGGCATGCGGCTTCCCCCGTCCACCACGAAGTTGGCTGTGGTGAAGGGAGCTCCGAACTGGGTGCTCGAGAGCTGCACTCAGCAGCTCACAGAAAGCGGCGTCATGCCGTTGAGCGCGGCCGAGAGGACGAGCGTGAACAACCAGGTTGACATCTACTCCGAGAAGGCTCTCCGTGTGTTAGCAGTGGCTGTGAATCCCATGGCCACCCCGTCCATCGACCTGATGAACGAGGATGTCGCCATGGACGAGAAGTTCGCAGCATGCAAGAAGGATCTCATCCTCGTGGGTCTCGTTGCGTCGATCGACCCGGACCGCAAGGGTGTTCCAGAATCTGTCGTGAAAGCTCGAGGCGCTGGCATCCGCGTTGTGATGATCACAGGGGACTACGTGAAGACCGCGATCGCGATCGCAAAGCGGGTGAACATCATCTCGCCGGAAGACGACATCGAAGAGTGTGCGTGCGATTGCAACAAGTTGCGCCCGAACGGCGGCTACATCGGGGAGGCCGAGATGGACGATATGACGAAGAGGGTGCGGTGCTTCGCGCGGGCGAAGCCCGAAGACAAGCTCATGATCGTGAAGTCGCTCCAGCGGCAGGGGTTCGTGAGCGCGATGACCGGCGACGGCGTGAACGACGCGCCCGCGCTCAACGAGGCCATGATCGGCGTGGCCATGGGCGAGGCGGGAACGGAAGTGGCCAAGGGCGCGGCCGAGATGGTGCTGCAGGACGACAACTTCACGCGCATCGTGGACGCGGTCGAGAAGGGCCGCGTCATCTACGCGGGCATCCAGAAGTTCGTGGCCTTCATCATGTCGGTGCACATCGCGGAGGTCGTGCAGATCTTCGTGTGCGTGGTGGCCCAGATCCCGATCATGCGCACGCCGCTGCAGATCCTCTTCCTCATCCTGGTCACTGACCTTCCCCCTTCGATCGCCCTCGGGATGTAGGGAGAAAAAAAAGTGACATAAACATGAAAACTCGGAGGTCTGCGCGGATTTCTCGGATCGGCGCTGGACCCCCCTCCCTGGCGACCGGAGTGCGCTAGGGGCGACGCTGGAGGCGCCGCCAGGGGGGTCCAGCGCGGATCCGAGAAATCCGCGCGGGCCTACGAGTTCTTCTGTTTATGTCACTCCATGTTCCCCTAGGATGGAGCCCGGCGAGGCGAACATCCTGAAGCAGCCGCCGCGGCCGAGGGACGAGCCGATCGTGCTCAACTGGATGTGGGTCAGCATGACGGTCAACGGCCTGCTCCTGTCGGTGGTGATCATCGCGGTCTACGTCTGGGCCCTGCTCGAGTACCCGGGCTTCGTCTTCCTCAAGGACTTCCCCAAGAACAACGACGATTGCGACACCGTCGGCGCTGGCACGGAGCCGTGCGCGGAGTGGGAGAACGCGCAGACATTATTGATGCACGCCCGCACCGTCGCCTTCATCTCGTTGGTCTTCTCTGAGAATGCCAGGGCCTACATATCCCGGTCCTTTGATAAACCCGTGTGGGTGAACTTTTTGGGCAACAAATGGATGCAGATTGCCGTGCTCAGTGCACTTGCCGCGTTGACCTTGGCTGTTATCATCCTCCCTCTGATCACCGAGAAGATCTTGGCTCTCAACGCGCTCGAGATTGGCTGGAAGGGTTGGGGCATTGCTCTCGTCGGGCCCGTTACGACGCTCATCCTCTGCGAACTGTGGAAGATCCCCACCGCGATGATGAAGAGAGCCTACGACGAGAAGGTCCGGAGCGAGCAGCTGCGCATCGCGGGCGAGGAGACCGACAGCTCGTCGGACGACAGCTCCGGGTCCGACTCCGACGGCCTCTGAGGCGCCCGAGGTTGTGGTCTTGCCTCGTTGGCCGAGAGCAGCGGAGCAGGAGGGAGACACAGTGGACGGAGGGGGCGAGGGGCAAGGTAGGCGCGCGCGCGCCGTGTACGACATACCATCCCATCCCTCCCTCCCTCCTCCCCCTCCTCCCACTCCTCCTCCCCCTCCTCCTCCTCCTCCTCCTCTTCCTCCTCCTTCTGCTCCTCATCATCATCATCATCATCATCATCATCATCATCATCATCATCATCATCATCATCATCATCATCATCATCATCATCATCATCATCATCATCATCATCCCCTTCTTCTTCTTCTTCTTCCTCCTCCTCCTCCTCCTGCTCCCATCCTCCTCCTCCTCCTCCTCCTCCTCCTCGCCTCCTCCTCCTCGTCCTCCTCCACTTGCTCCTCCTCCTCCTCCTCCTCCTCCTCCTCCTCCTCCTCCTCCTCCTCCTCCTCCTCCTCCTCCTCTCCTCCTCCTCCTCTCCCCCCCTCCCCTCCCTCCCCTCCCTCCCCTCCCCCTCCCTTCCCTCCCTGCCCCCTGCCTCCCGCCTCCCTGCCTTCCCTGCCTCCCTCACATCCCTCCATCCCTCCTCCCTCCCTCCCTTCTCCCCCGTCCTTCCCTTCCTCCTCCCTCATCCTCCTTCTTCTTCTCCTCCATCCTCCTCGCTCCTCCTCCTCCTCCTCCTCCTCCTCCTCCTCCTCCTCCTCCCCCTCCTCCGCTCCCTTCTTCCTCCTCTCTCCTCCCCTTCTCCTCCTCCTTCCCCTTCTCCCTCTTCCTCTCCCATCATCTTCCTCCTCCTTATTCCTCCTCTGTACCTCCCTTCCTCCTCCACCTCGCTCCTCCTACCTGCCTCCCCTCCTCCTCCTCCTCCTCCTCCTCCTCCTCCTCCTCCCCCTCCTCCTCCTCCTCCTCCTCCTCCTCCTCCGCCTTCCTCCTCCTCATCCTCTCCTCCTCCTCCTCCTCCTCCTCCTCCTCCTCCTCCTCCTCCTCCTCCTCCTCCTCCTCCTCCTCCTCCTCCTCCCTCCCCCTCCTACGCTGCCCTCCCTCCCTCCCTGCCTCCCTCCCTCCCTCCCTCCCTCCCTCCGTCCTCCTCCTCCCCCCCCCCCTCCTCCTCCTCCTTCCTCCTTCCCCTCCTCCTCCTCCTCCTCCTCCTCCTCCTCCTCCTCCTCCCCTCCTCATCCTCCTCCTACTCTCCTCCTCCTCCTCCTCCTTCTCGCCTCCTCCTCCTCCTCCTCCTTCTTCTCCTCCATCCTCCTCCTCCTCCTCCTCCTCCTCCCCCTCCTCCTCTCCTACTCCTTCTCCTCCTCCTCCTCCTCCTCCTCCTCCTCCTCCTCCTCCTCCCCACTCTTCTCCTTGTTTGACGTTGCCCGGACTTCATGCTATGCACGCAGCGTTCCTCCTCCTCCTCCTCCTCCTCCTCCTCCTCCTCCTCCTCCTCCTAGAGGCCTCCCAGTCAAGGTCCGAGCAGATGTGGTCGGAGGATCGCGCCGCATCTCCGATGCATCGGCGGTGCGGCTCAATGTGGAGCCCGGTTTCTTCCACGCCGATGGCGCCGATGCGTCGGCGACGCGCCGGCGAGAGCGGCGCGAGTTTCCGACCCCGTCTGCTCCACCCCATCTGGGAGGCCTCCAGCCGTGGCAGTGCTCCGCGTAAATCGCGCAAATCAGTTAATCTGCCCTTGCAGCTGCGGGGCGGCGTGGCTTCGCCGACCCCCCGCCCGCCTCGGCCGCAGGCGTCACCGCCGGCGGGGGCGAGGAGGGGCGAGGGGGGAGTGCAGGCGCCCCCCCCTCGACCCTGCAGGGGCAAGGCGCGCCGTTGAATCGTTTGTTTTGCCGAGCTCGGCGCCTGGTGCTGCCGATGGCCGCTTGCAGCCTCTCGGTCACACGTGCGACAGGCAGCGAGGTGATGGGGAGGGGGAGCTGGGCGTGCGGTCCAATCTCAGCAGGTGAAGGGCAGGTCGCGAGGGAGCCGTGGTTGATCTGGAGAGTGACTCTTGTGGCACTTTTGGCAGGTGCTCGTTGGCCAAATTTTTGAGCCTGCGCGCCACATCGTGGCTGATGCGGCGCCGGCTTCAACCAGTGCGGTCGCTTGCGTGTAAGACAGTGTAAGAGCACATTACAAGCCGCTCGAATTGAAAAGTTCTGAAGGTGCATCCCTGACTTCTGTCATATACCACATCACTTCAGGGAACACAGGACCACACCGAGTCCCCCCTGCCCCCCGCTGGGGCCTGCCTGTGGCGCCCCCAGCGCCTCCCCGAGGCTTCCCCAGGCCCCACTGGAGCCTCCGGAGAAGTTCCAAGGAAGTGCGAGACGGCCCAAATGTCTTCCGGGCGGCACCCGATAATTTCCAGGCAGCTCCAGGACGGTCCCAAGAAGAGGACCCCAAAGGTCGCCAAAGGTCGCCAAAGGTCGCCAAAGGTCGCCAAGAAGAGGATGGTCCGAAGACAGCCCTAGAGGTCGCCGAGACGGCTCCAAGAAGAGGGCCCCCAAGAGGGCCGCCCCTCTGGCAGACCTCCCGAAGATGGGTCCCCCGAGGACTCCCCGCGGTGCTGCCTCGTGGCCGCCGCGTGGGCGCCTCGTGGGCGCCCCGTGCGCCGTGTGGTTTCCCCGAGGGTTCGCCCCGCTGCCGCCCGTGCCGCCTCGTGGGCGCCTCGTGGGCGCCCCGTGCGCTGAGCTCACACCTCGTAATTACAGTCGGGGCCCTGAAGAAGGAACCCTTTTGGTTGGGGAGGGGCTCCGCGCTCCGTAAGTGTTTCACAGCTTGCCTCAGGTGTTCCTTATGTCTCCGATAGGACCTCGAAGTTTAACTTATGGGAAAAAAAAGGGGCCTCGTTCCTCATTTAGGGTTCCTTAGGTCAACGCCCCGACTGTATCTTACCCCACATGTCTTACGACGCATTGCTTGTGCCACACAGCTTACACCGCATGGGTTACACACATCGCTTACACCGCGTAGCGCAACATCGCTTACGCTACATAGCTCGCACCACATAGCCTGCATTACATTAGAGTGAGGGGTGCCGAACGGTCATGCGGTGCGGATTGTTGTTGCTGTTGTTGCTGCATGTTGTGTTTAAGTATTGTCGTCGTCGTTGTTGTTGTTGTTGAATCACCACTTTAAAGCATATTTGTTCTTGGTCCACCCCGCCCAGTAACCAATGTATGTTTGAAGCAGAGTGCTTCTGCCGGGCTTCGCGTCTTTTTTTTGTCAAGGGAAGGTGAGGCGTCACCATGTTCAGCCCCTGGCCCCCCAGCTTACAACAACAGCAACAACAATAATGTTAATAGTGTTCGCTCTTACCTGCTCACGTGCCATCCAATACGTATATCCCAATCCCTCGGTACCGGCCTTCGTCGTCTTCGATTGTATCTCCTTGGGGGTATATATTCCTTACCAACCGCGTGTATTTCGCGCAGCCCCCAAAACAGGGAAAGAGAGGACGGGTGGAAGAGGGAGCAAGAAGGAGGCGGCACGAGAGAAATTTGCAGGATAGGGGGCCAGGAGCACAAAACAAGTGGTAGAACCAGACGGGCAGATCGGGTGGGCAGACCCATAGCGGGCGGGTCGGGAAGGCGGGCACAGACGACAAGGTCGAGCAGGCGGGTTGCTGAAGCGTGGGTCCTGCATGAATCGCGAGGAAGTCACGGGCGATTGCGCGACTCCCAAGGTAATCGTGAGAAAGCGAAAGCGAGAGCGTGATTCCTGAGCGTCGAGGGCGCACCGTCTGAATAAATTGCGAAGAAGTCCCACGCGAGAGCGCGACTCCCACATAGATTGCCAGGAAGTCCCGCTCGAGAGCGCGATTCTTCAATCAAGTGTAAGGAGGTATCAGGCGGAAGCCGCGGTTGGTGTAAACGTGGCGGCAACAGCATAACTCTGAGACTCAAGGTTTACCATGGTAAAAAAGAAGATGTGATCCTCGGGAAAAGCATTTCAATTGAAAAACATCATGTGCCCCGGAGGGGGGGATCAACAATAATGATGATTCTTGAGAAATGAGAATTCAAGGTTTCCGCCTGACACTTCCTCACAATGTATTCGCACATCGTGTTTTCGCGCGGGACTTCGTCGCAATGTATACAGGCATCGCGCTGTCGCGTGGGACTTCTTCGTAATTGATTCAGGCGCCGCGCCCTCGACACTCAGGAATCACGCTGTGTCTGTGGATATCCTGAGGATTTATTTCTGAGTCGCGGAATCGCCCGAGACTTCCTCGCGTTTCATGTAGGACGCACGCTTCAGCAACCCGCTTGCTCGACCTGGCCGCCTGGGCCCGCCTTCCCGACCCGCACGTTAGGGTCTACCCGCCCGTCTGGTTATGGTTATGTTCGTCTAGTTCTGCCACGTACTTTCTGTTCCTAGCCCCCTCTCCTGCTATTCTCTCTCGTGTTCCATCCTCCACCCTCCCCCTTGCCCTTTTCTTCCGTCCGTCCACTCTTCCCCTGCCTTACGGGCTGCACGAAATACACGTTGCAAGTAATATCTTTTTATGTGGATATATTCTCCAAGGGGGTATCGAGCGTTTGGGATATGCGTGTTGAGTGGCCCGCGAGCAGATCAGAACGAACAGCCTTAAAAAACGAGTGTGTTTGTTGTTGTTGCTGTTGCTGTTGCTTGTGTTATGCATGTTGAATGTCTTGTGTGTTGTGTGTTGATAGGTGTCGTTGGTGCTGCTAGTGTTCGTGGTGGTATTGCTGTTGTTGTTGATATTGTTGTTGCTTGTTGCTTGTTGTTGGTTGTTGGTTGCTGCTTGTTGGGTTTTGGTTGCTGGTTGTTTTTTTGTTGTTTGTTGTTGGTTGTTGGCTGTTGTTTGTTATTTGTTATTTGGTGTTGGTTCCCTGTTTTTTGATGATTGTTGTCTGTTGTTTGTTGCTGTTTGTTGCTTGTTGTCGTCGTTCCTCCCGCGACCCAGCCCGCGACCCGTCCGCGACCCGGCCCGCGACCCACCCGCGACCCGCCCGCGACCAACCCGCTACCCACCCCGCGACCCATCCGCGACCCACACACGACCCAACCGCGACCCACCAGCGTCCCACCCGCGACACCCCCGCGTCCCACCCTCGACCCGATCCGCGATCCACCCGCGACCCGTTCGCGACCCACCCGCGACACTTCCCGTGACCCACCCACATGACTTTGACGAAAAATCGGCGCCTGCGGCGGGCTCGTTGAATAATTTGTAAAAATGTCAGCGCCTGCGGCGGGCTTCGTCAGAGCCTCGCAGACTGCTGACGTCCCCGCCGCCCCCATCACTCTTATCCGTAACTGCGGGGTGCTACGTAGCGTACACCACATAAACATCCTTTCACTTTTAAGCCACGCACCATTAGTAACACGACATCGCGCGAGAACCACACATCTCCCACCGAATCGCGTACACCGAAGAGCTTACACCCGCCCACTGCAATGAGTCACTGAATGGGACCTACGCTGGCTAACATTTTGCACATTCGTGTTGCATTCCAGCAGCATCCGAGACGGCCCACGAGGCCCCCAAAACCGCCATGAGGAGGGCCCCCTTCATCCTTTTCTTCTTTGAAAAGACCGCCACGAAGGGGGCCCCGAGGAGCCCAAGAGGGCCCCAAGACGGCCCAACAGGTGCTCAAGACGGCCCAAGACCGCCCCAAGGGGGGGCCCCAAGAGGAGGAAGTCGAGCTCACAGTTCATGCTATTCGCCCCGAGGAGGGCCCCCGAGACCCGCCAGCAGGCCCCCAAAGGACCCTCCCAAGAGGATTCCTAGAGGCGCCCAGGAGGCCCAACGAGGGCCCGCTCAACGGCCCCCAAGAGGCCCCACGAGGCGTTGTAGTCATTTGCAAGAGGCCCCCCTGAGATCTTGCGAGTGATTAACAGGCAGCCAAGAGGCCACATGCCATTATGGGAGGACACAACGCGAAACATGTTTGATACTCTCTAGGTCCAGAGATGGCCCCGAAATGCCCCCCAGATGGCCCAGGAATGCCCAAGAGGAAGACGACCTCTGGAGGAGCCAACGATGCCCCCAATATGGTCCCAAGCAGCGCAAGCGCCCCGAGATGTCGCAAGAGGGCTCCAAGAGGTCCCTATGAGTTCCAAAGAGGGCGCCACGACTGTCCGAAGGGGCCACAAGCGGCCCCAAGAGAATCCCACCTACGGACCCGCTGGGCCCCAAGCGAGCAAGCATACGGCCGCGAAGATGCCCACGACGGATGATGGTGGTGACGATGACGATGACGATGACGGGGACGATGACGATAACGATGTTGATATTGTTGATGATGATGGTGATGACGATGATGATGATGATGATGATGATGCTGATGATGATGATGATGATGATGGTGATGATGATGGTGACGACAATGATGATGGTGGTGATGGCGATGCTGATGCTGATGCTGATGGTGATTGTGATGATGATGAGGAGGAGGAGGATAGTGATGATGACGCTATGGTGATGAGTGTGCTGCTGGTGATGATGATGATGATGATGATGATGATGATGATGATACAGAGGATGCTGATTATGATGATACTGCCGATGCTGTTGATGTTGATGGTAATGGTTAGCATGATAACGATAACGATGATAATGATGATGATGATGATGAGGAGGAGGAGGAGGGGAATGCTGACGATGGCGACGTTGGCGGTGATTGTGATGATGGTGATGGTGATGCTGATGATGATGATGACGATGATGATGATGAGGATGATGACGATGGTGGCGGTGACGACAACGATGGCGATGGTGAGGATGACGGTGAGGCTGGTGATGCTGGTGGAAATGATACCGCTGGTGGTGATGCTTGTGCTGGTGCTGGTGTTGGTGATAATGATGTTGTCGTTGATGATGATGGGGGTGATGGTGATGGTGGTGGTTGTGATCGTGGTGACGGTGATGGTGATGATGACGATGCTGTTGAATATGGCAACGGCGACGGGCTGAATGTGG